TTTTTTTCCTCTTTCTCTTCTCTTCCTCTCTTTCCTCTAACTTTCTCTCTCTCTTTCCCCTCTTTCTCTTTCCTCTTTCTCTTTCCACTTTTTCTCTTTCCCTCTCTCCTCTCTTTCTCTTCTCTTTGTCAAGCCCCACAGGGCTTGCCACTCACGGGTGAGGGTTGGGGGACCGCCAGCCAACTGCTGCCGCCGCCGCAGCCACCCGGCCCGTTGCTGTTGCCGCCGCCGCAGCCGAGCAGCTTGTTCCCGCCGCTGCCGCCGCAGCCGCCCAGCTCGTTCCCGGCGTTGCCCCGGCCTGCGGAGCTCCAGGTATGGCCCTCCCCCCTCCCTTCCGTTCCCTGCAGCGCTGCCTGGTGTGCCTGGGTGGGAAATCCCGAGCCGCTGTAGCCAGGTGCGAGGGGGAACGCCAGAAGCCTCGCGCAAGGGGGGGGAGGCCTGGCGACGCTACGCCCTGCCGGGCGCTCACCGACAGGGCTGGGGGGGCCGAGGCTGCCAGGGAGAAACAGCCACGTGCCGGCAATCAGCCGGAACTGCTGGAGCCAGCCGGGGAAAGCCGCAGCGAGGCGGAGAACGCCGCGGATGCCAGGGGGAAAGCCGAACGGGCCACGCAACACCAGCAGACCAGCAGACGCCGCGGGAGAGCTCAGAAGGCCGAGCAAGGGCTGACACCAACCTGGAACTCTCTGGTCCAACGAGCCTTCAGGGAAGGAGGCTGGGTGACGCAGCACACAAGTGGCCGGAGAACCGCCAAGGATTGATTGACTTCCGGGAGGGGCGGGTCCCAACTGCCGGGACACTTATAACCACAGGGCGGATGGTGGCTTGCGGCTGGGGGCGGGGTAACAGGGCGCAGGGCCAATGAGGAGCCCTGCGAGGGGGCAAGTCCCATGAGAGAGAGAGAGAGAGAGACAGAAGTGCAAGTGCCTCTGTCTCTGTCTCTCTGTCTCTCTCTCATGGGACTTGCCGGAGGGCCGTGGGAGGGCCGCATTTATATAGAGCAGGGAGGGCTGTTCGAGGGCCGGATTAAACTGGGCCGCGGGCCGCAAATGGCCCGCGGGCCGGACTTTGGACATGTCTGCTTTAAACCATTGGAAAAACTGCTGTCATTCAGCTAAGGCTATAAAAACCTGTACGCTCCGATTGTTAGCTTATTAATACAGAGGAGTCGGGGAGTCGGAAGTACAAAAAACTGAGGAGTCGGAGTCGGAACATTTATCTACCGACCCCACAGCCCTGGTTTTTGGTATATCCTCAGACTTATGACCACAATTGGCACTGGAGTCTTGGTCGTTAAGATGTCACATGAGAGTTTGGCTCAGTGACTGCAATCCTCTACTCCTGAGGTTGTGGCTGTTAAGCAATTTCACATGTCGTTGAGCAGATGAGTCCCAGATAGGAATGTGGGCTTGCCTGAAGTGGGCAGGAGAGGCATTTGTGAGTCCTGGCACAGGCCACGTTTGACTTAAGGAGGTCCTGGAGAAGCTTACAGATGCTTTTGAGATATTTTGCTTGGAAACATGTATGGAACACGTGACTTGGAGAATGGCGCAAGGCTGCAAAGGCCTCCGTTGTGGGGATTAAGGCCTCAATTCTCAGTGGCTGAGGTGACAGTGGGCTGAAGTCCAGGTCTGGGTTCAGTGACCCCAGGCCTCCACTTAAGGCCCAGCCCCGGCATTACTGTCCACCGGGGCTGCTTTCCATGGTCTGGATGGGGCAGCTCAGGCTTCCAGGGGTGGCTGCAGCTGTGCATCCCACTTCATCACCCCCCGAACTCATGGCTGAACTGAGCCTGGTCTCCCGGACCTCCCCCTACCCCCCAGACACGCCCACGTCCCTTGCCTGGGCCTTCCTCCTACCTAAGGTTTCAGGGCTTCTTTTTCACCTCGTCATAGGACAAGAACCAAGGAGGAAAAGATAGAGTCAGTGAACAGCAGAAGAGTTTGCCTCCGAGGGATGTGGGGAGAAGGAATCAATGGAGGTTTTGTCTGGGGTGTAATGCGGACCTCTCCCCTGGTCAGAGGGTGGACTGGAAGACCTTCATGGTCCCTTCTAAGGCTATGATTTTGTGATTCTCTACCGTTGTCGAAAGGAAACATTATTCTTGTCTTCTTTCTTTTTCCACCAGCAGGAAAACAACTCTGACCAAAGATTCACTTGCAAGTCACCTTTCAAGAGATAGTAGAAAATCAGCGCAAGGCAGCAGCCGCCAGAACTCATGGAGGGCGGGAAACTCTCGGATCCCCCGTCAGACACAAGCAGCACTCTGAAAAACCACAAAAGAACCCATGAATGCTCAGAGTGTGGGAAATCCTTTGCTCGCAGATCCCTCCTTTTGACCCACAGGGAGGTCCATGTGGGAAGCAGATCCAGTCAAGGATTGGAGGGTGAGAAATCCTTTTCTGGAAAAGGTGCCAAAGATCTCAGACGTCCCCCCAGACTAAAACCTCATAAATGTGAGGAATGTGACTTACGCTTTGGTCAAAAGTCACGTCTTCTTACACATCAGAAAATCCACACTGGAGAGAAACCTTATCAATGTCTGGAATGTGGGATTTTTTTCCGTGAGAAATCCACCCTCAGAAGCCACGAGAGAATTCACACAGGGGAGAAACCTTACACGTGTTGGGAGTGTGGGAAGAGCTTTTCTCGGAAGGCAAATCTTCGGGTCCATGAGAAGGTTCATGCAGGAATAAAACCTTACAAATGCTTTGAGTGTGGAAAATGTTTCACCCTGAGTTCAACTCTTCGGAATCATGAGAAAACACACACAGGGGAGAAAAATGAAAAGTGTCTTGAATGCGGGAAATGTTTTTCCAAGAAATCAAGCCTGGTGCAGCATCAGAGACGTCACACTGGAGAGAGACCCTATGAATGCCCAGAATGTGAGAAACGATTTATGTGTTCTTCTGAACTTCAGAGACATCAGAAGATACACAAAGGGGAGAAACCCTATCAATGTGGGGAATGTGGAAAACGTTTTCTTACACAAAGAGTGCTTCAGTTTCACGAGAGAATCCACACGGGGGAAAAACCATACAAATGTGGGGAGTGTGGGAAATGCTTTTCCCTAAAACAAAGCCTTGGAAGGCATCAGACGCTCCACACAGGAAAGAAGCCATACAGATGCCTAGAATGTGGAAAATGTTTTGCTCAACATGGAACCCTTTGGACACATCGTAAAACCCACACAGGGGAGAAACCATATCAATGCTTCGAATGTGGGAAATGTTTTTCTCAAAAGGCAACCCTTTGGACACATCATAAAACCCACACAGGGGAGAAGCCATATCAATGCATCGAATGTGGACAATTTTATTCTACCACATCAAACCTTAGAAGTCATGTGAAAATTCACATAGGGGAAAAAAACTACAAATGTTTAGACTGTGGGAGAGCATTTGCTCATTCACATTCCCTTAGAAGCCACAGCCGAATCCATACAGGAGAGAAGCCCCATAAATGCTCGGAGTGCGATAAATGTTTTTCTCAAAAAAATACTCTTGTGATGCATCAGAGAACCCACACTGGAGAGAAACCATATAAATGTCCAGAGTGTGGGCAATGTTTTGCCCGAACTTCATCACTTCACAAGCACACCAGAAGTCACACAGGGGAGTCGCCTTACAAGTGTGCAGAGTGTGAAAAAACCTTTCATAGTAAATGTCACCTAAAAAGGCATCAGAATGTCCATATTAGAGAGAAACCCCTTCAGTTGTGAGGAATGTGGAAAACATTTTTTGAAACGTCACATCTTATAATTCACCAGGAACTTCACACAGTCCCAGAAGGGAAATCCTACAGTTTTTTGTTGTGGGGAAACCTTCACAATGACGAAAACAGCATGGCAATTTTTTGTCCCAGTTTCTTGTGCTTTTTGTACACCAAAGCGTCTGCACAGGAGAGGTTCCACAAATGCTTCAGCAGAAATCAACATTTTATTTCTGATTTTTTTACTTTTCATTTTAGATATTAAGATTTTGGGGTCCAGAAGAGAAGAAGGAAACTCCGTTTAGATGCCTCAGATCATATGAGGTGGTGGAAATGGCCTTGTGATTCCGTTGCACCTAAAATGACAGAGAGAGATCCCATTTTCCTGTTGAATGTGTATTTACCTCCCAGCCAGCCCAGAGACCTTTTGTAAGGAACAAAAATGTTAATGGAAAAATTAATATTTTTGTGTTGGTTATTAGCTGGTTTTAAAATTAAGAGCTGAAAGACAAAGATGGCAAATTAAATATGAACATGGCAGAGCAAATATAATTGATGGGGGAAAAGTGTTTTGAAGGATTGAGGGAATAGGAAGAAACTTGAGCATTATTTAAAAAAAATACAAATTGTATGTCAAAATAATTATGTTAAGGCGTGGGATGAAATCAAGAAGGATGTGTTAAGATGTGGAAATTACAACTGTCATCGTTGGGGAGAATTTCTGTGATTAAAAATGAATGTATTACCTACTTTCATGATGTTTCTGTTTTAAGCAATACCTCTCTAAATAATAGGTGCACCCCTTACACAATCTAAGTTTATATGCCGAGGGGAAAAACCAGGGGTTGAATTTAAAACGCTTCAGGATGCAAATAAAAGAGGATAGTCTGATTGGGAAATTCTCCTTTGCAGCCTCTTCAGTTTGGACAAAAAGAATGAGCTTTGTTTAGAATAAGAGAATTTTAAAATAAGAAGAGGAGGAGCTGAAATTTCGGTGGCCTGGTTTTTATGTGGTACAACCTCAACAATCCTCGTGATCGAAGTGATGCATTGAGAATACGGAAGGGATATAAACCCAGAGGAGGGTGCCCGAGAAAGCCCTGGCAGAGGAAGGCCATGTATGGGAGAGGAAAAGAGCAGGCAAAGAGAAACGGTCACCTATGGAGAGTTGTTAGAAAAAAGGAAGGTGGGAGAATACAAGGGGAAGTCATGAGATCAGCAGAGGGATTTAGCTTCTCACAGTTTTTCTCTGAAGAGTCGAGAGAAAGATTGAAAGTGGACAAAAGGAACACTTGGAATTAAACACAACCTATTGGGAGACAGAATTTGAAATTGAACTCCTGTATGTGCAAATGATGAACGTGAAATGGCTAAAAGGTATCAGCTTTTTCTAAAAACTGAAATGGACAAAAAACAAGCTAGTCCTCGACTTACAACAGTTCATTTAGTGACCGTTCAAAGTTACAACTTGAAGAAAGTTGTTACACTGAAGAAAGCAACATATGACCATTTTTCACACTTATAGCCACTGCAGCATCCCCATGGTCACGTGATCAAAATTTAGGCGATTGGCAGCTGACTCCTCTTTATGACAGTGGGAGTGTTCTAGGGTTGTGTGGTCACTTTTTGCGACTTTCTGACAAGCAGAGTCAAGGGGAAGCCAGATTCATTTAACAACCATGTTGCTATCTTAACTGCAGTGATTCACTTAACAACTTTGGCAAGAAAGGTCCTAAAAATGGGGCAAAACTCACTGTTTCACTTAGCAACAGAAAGTTTGGGCTCTATTGTGGTCGTAAGATGAGGACCACCTGTATGACGAAACGGGCCAAAGGTTTTAGTTATTCTGTGCCATCAAGTCTGTGTCGACTCTTAGCAACTGCATGATAAACATTCTCCAGAATGATCTCTATCCCCAACCGGATCCTTCAGGTCCCCCAATGGATCCCCCATCGCCACTTTGCCTGGATCCACCCCCCTGGTTGCCCTCTTCTTCTCATTCCCCCCATCTTTCTCAGCATCAGAGCCTTCTCCTTAAAGCAAACATTGTTGCAGCCTATCTCTGATTGATGACAGTTTGAGCCTGGTCTATTTATTCCCGGAGTAAGAATTCTGCTTGGTTTCTTGTGTGATCCATTTGTCTGTTTTCTTGGCTGTCCATGGTAATCTCAGGAGTTTTCCCCCAACACCAAAGTTCAAGACCTGTCCACCCTCTTCCTGTCCTGCTTCTTCAAAGTCCAATTTTCCCTTCCGTAGAAGGTCACAGGGAATATCATGGCTACCCCCGCTCTGATCTTAGGTTTATGTTTCTCTAGCCCAGATGCTTCCGTAGCATCTGAGACCAGAGATACAATAAACGTTGGGAAATGGACATAAAGAGCAGCCCTCCATGGACGAGAGACTCGGGTGTCTTCATCAGAGTGAGATCTTTCGGGTGGCAAGATTCTTGTGACCCCCACCCCCACACGGGAGAGGATGATGGTTTGGGAGGAAGCGAGGGAAGAGGCGGCGAAACTGCACTTGGGCGAAGATCTGTGGAGGAGGCATGCCGGTAGAGACACCCCCCCCCCAAAAAAAAAACACCTGGAGGGATCCATAGGCTAGAAAAGGCAGAGAGAGATTGAGGGGGGCGGGAGCAGCTACCTAGATCCACTCTGAGGATCTTTGGATCCACTAGAAGGGATCCGCCCGGGGCTTCTTCCCGGCCCTCCCCCTGGCGCTCCCCCAACCTCGGCTGCACGGAGGACCCTGCCCCGCTTCTCCTTCCGCCCCGTCTCAGCCGCCGAGGGGACCTTGGACTGTCTGGGGCGGCCCCTCCCTCCCCCCCCGGGAGCGGCTCTTCCTCGGCGGTCCGCTTAGAGTTGCCAGGTGTCCACTATTTGAGCGGACAGTCCGCTTTTTTCACATTATGTGCACTATTTTTTTTCACAAAATAGTGGACATTTTTTTTTATTCGAAAGCTTTATTTGCTTATGTCATATTTTTTTTAAAAAAGAATGCACGATTTAAATAAAGTGACTTTTGCTTTTGCGAAAGGAAAAGAAAAAAAAGCGAGCAGGGGGTTGCTAACAAGTACGCCCCCATAGAGATAAGAATGTAGAGAGGCGCTCCCTCGTCTTCAAAACCGCGATTCTACACTGATCCCGGAAACCGGAAATGGAGGCTTCCCACGTCCGCTCTAGTTCAGCTCTATGGGCCAGAGTTGCCTCTCTAGCCCTGGGAGAGTTCGCCCTCCCTCCTTTCGTTTAAGCGACTCTATGGTCGTGGGCGGCTGCGCGGGCCGTTCGAGGGAAGCCGAGCCGAGCCGAGCCAGGGAGTCATGGCCAAAGGTAAGCCGGGGGTAGAAAATATATAATTTAATTGTAAATTTTTTTTTTTACTTTTTTTACTACTTAACCCCCCCCCCCGCTTGTCCGCTATTTTTGGGAAGCAGACCTGGCAACCCTACCGCATCCCCTCCCCGCCCTCTTCTCCAGCCTGCGGGAAACGCCGCAATCCTCGCAATTCCCTCCTGGACTATTTCGCAGCCATCGCAGAGCTTCAGATGCCGGAGCAGGAGGGAGCCCCGGCCGCGCACAGCAGGGCACTCTTCGCATGGGCAGAGGAACCCCGGACGCGGAGGAACAGGGAGTCCCGGCTGATGAATGCAGGGAGGGGTAGGAGGAGCTGAGGTGGCTATGGGGCGGGGCTACAAGTCGGAGCCCGAGAGGAGAGCAGAAGCCCCGCCCCCGCCCTCCCACCCGCTGGATCTCCGCTTCCCTCCAGCGTGTCACGCTTCGCCCTGCGAGGATCGGCGCTGGATCCCTCGGGAGAGGCTTCTGGATCCCGCTCGGGGCAGGTCGGGCTGTAGCTTTGTTGAAAAATGTGATAGCGCCCACGGGGAGGGGGGTAGGAGGATCTGTAACCCCTTTGCCATTGCAAGGAGCCACCTGCCCGGTCTCTCCCTCCCTCCCCCCCACTCCTGAGGACCCGGGCCAGCCCCTCCCTCTCCGTCCTCAGTCGGGCTCCGCAAAGACCCAGCCGGAGAGGAGCCCTCCTCGAAGGGACGGGGGGGGGTTCCTGTCGCTCCTGGCTGCCCCCCCCAAAAGCCATCGCGGAGCTTCAGTTTCCACCCAGATGCTGGAGCAGGAGGCAGCCCCGCCCGGGCACAGCAGGGCACTCTTCGCATGGGCAGAGGAACCCCGGAGCCTGATGCCCAGCGGAGAAACAGGGAATCCCGGCTGGGAAGGCGGAAAGGGGAAGGGAGGGGGGACGTCCTGAGGCTGCTAAGGGGCGGGGCTGTAAGGCGTGGGCGGAGCCCAAGAGGAGAGTAGAAGCCCCGCCCCCGCGTCTCTCCTCCCACTCGCTGGATCTCCGCTTCTCTCCATGTGTCTCACTTCGGCATGGGAGGATCGGCGCTGGATCCCTCGGGAGAGGCTTCTGGATCCCGCTCGGGGCAGGTCTGGCTGCTCTCCCTCCGGCCTTTGGGGCGCCCCTCCCGCCAGGAGAGCTTTCCCCCCCCCCCGCCAGGAGAAAGGTAGCTGCGGATCCGCCTCTCCGGCTTCCCGGGTTTTCCTTGGGGAGATTCGGTTCAGACACGATAGCAGAGTTCCCGTATCTGAGGGGCTGCCCCAAGGCAGAGGGGGCCGGGTTCTTCACCGGAGCACCAGAGCGAGGGACGAGAAACAATGGTTGCAAACTGATCAGAGAGAGAAGCAATCTGGAATTAAGGTGAGACTCTGCAGAAACCCTCCCCCCCCCACTACGCACATGGCCTAAAGAGACCCCCACCCAATTTAAATTCCCAGGACGGTCATCCTGTAACCCCTGCACCGGGCCTTAAATGAAATACGAACCATCCACTTAGGAGGGAAGATCAGTAAAGTCTCCTAGCAGGAGTAACTGAAGATTATTGCTGCTGACTGGCACTCTGAAATGAGTCCCTACACAAGAAAACCTTAAAAAAAAGGAAGATCTCTCCGTTGGGCCTCATAAAAAACACACAGTGGGCGGAGACACTCTTCGCATGGG